AATTTGCATTAATTCATCACTCTTGGAAATTAGAAAATGTGTTCTGAACTTGCAAAATCATATGTCAGATGTGACAGGGACGCAAAAAAAACCCTCTAATTTCTGGAATTACCCTCAAGAGAAATTCTTTTTAAAAGAAACTAAGAGATTTTAATCAAGCAGTCTGATTAAAATCCCATACAGGCAATTAATAATTACCTTCAACTTCACATACGACATGTACATAAGCCCACATAGAATACATATTGCACGGTACCTGATTAAATTTGCACCTGTATAGTGGACAGATTACAAGTACCCAGGGTACAATACCTCGTTTCAAACCATGCTCTAAATTTTGTCCAAAGTAGAGGTCACAGGATTTACTAAGGAGCTAAAAATGAATGAACCAGTGAGTAACAAACTACCATCAACACATGTGCAATGTCCATTCATGAACTAAATACTACATATAGCAGGACATGAACTTCATAAGGCTCCAAAGCAGTCTCAACAAAACAAAATAAAACAAAAAAATGAAAGTTAATGAAACCATATTCTACTTGTATTTGATTGCATAGTAGTCTGATATTTTACTGTGTTTAACATAGAACTGGTCACTTTTATTCACGTGAAATTAAATCATGATTATAAATCAATATCCAAAACACTGATTTGAATATTGTGTGCCATTTGTCATCAAATATGGCTATCTGATTTAAATATAAACAAACAGCTTGAATTGAATCAAAATCTCTGCCAACCAAGATTGCTTGTTATACGTGTGCACTGTGCACCAGTAATTCTTACTTAAGGGCTTAGAGAAGTTTATGTGTCATTTAAAATGTGGAAAACTTGTTTGCTCATTCCAAACAAGCGGCAAGGAAGCACTTTTCACAATTCCACTTTGGGCCTTGCTGACATAGGTGCTGCAACATAACAGTGTTATGGCAATGAGCGTTCTTCTGGTCTTTTTCAAGAGTAAGACGATATTGCTTTGAGGGAGATGAAAGGATGGGTGCTGGCACTTTACCTCTTCAGACGTCTACAAATCTCTGCTCAGGACACGGCAGCTGATATGTTAGTATAAATGAAGACATGTTGCTGTGACAGAGCCATGCAAGAGACGACATCAACAGTTTATGACTACTCAAGCGCAAGATACGTGTAGCAACATTACAAGTACAGATCCGACTCCTTGCTCCAGAGGACAAGAGAGTGCTCAAAAGAGACAAGTCATCGAATAAAATCATTTGGATTTGAAATCAAACCTAACCTTTTCAAGTGCCAAAGATAAACTGGGATTTGCTAAACTGAACACAAAGGTACAGATGGTTACAGAAATTCAGTTCCACTTCAATTTGTGCTATAGGCCGGTGGTTCCACAGACTGGAACGTGGAGAGACAAAAGGTACTCAGAATTTTGGTGGCAACACTCTGTTTTAACACTGGGTGGGCACGGTGCAGGAAGAGTCAAGGGCGCTGTTTGGGCCATGTAGGGAAATCTAAGCTTCATCTATATCTTGGGCATAAGGTTTTAATTTGTTGAATTTCCCCATTGAGTTGAGACCCTTTACCACTTTTGCAAGGCACTGTTGTTGGCAGGAAAACTTGACCCAGGAAATGAGCAAGATACAGCAGCCAACTTTTGAAATAGAACCAAATACCGCAAACACTGGAATACAAGAGTCATTACATTTCTTACTTCCAACCTCATTAATTGAAATGAGTTGCTGTAACATAACAAATGGCTTCGTCCTCGTACACAGGTCAAGTTAACCACTTGCTACTGGGAGGATTTTTTTTAGCGAGACAAGATGCCGGGTCCTTTTCAAGATTTTTCGTCTTCAAAGTTCTTCAAAAATTCATCATTTCATTTAAAGGCCCTTTGTACCCACATGATAGACTCTTTGGGCGCTAATCTAAAGCTGCCAAGTAACCTTCATTGACTCCTGAATATTTCAGCCAGGCCTGCAGCCTTGGAAAAAGGGCCCAGATTGTGCGGTGTTACGTAAGATTCTTTTGTTCCCGAAACCCGCACAGTGCACTGCTGACCTCTTTTCAATAGGGGCCAGATTAGCATGCAGCGGTGCTGTATGGCTCATCGCTGCGGTGGTGGAGAGCTTTTGTTCCCAGTGGTAATCCGCTCACTCTAAATGCCTCAAATGGTGGTATACTGTTTCAAAACAAGGCTGGATTATCTCCACTATTGAGAGCGAAAAAATGCCCAGCAGCTCAGTCTTTTGTGCTGAGCATAGTCTTTTGTCATAATGCCCAACTCTTTTGTCCAAGTTCCAGGCTCCCGGCTCTGCATATAAAGCCTATGTGCTCGAAAATGGGTCGCCCGGCAGGAAGTGGTTGAAGTTCAACACACAGTCCAGTTTAACTGGCTTCAAGATGTTGCATGTGTGTGCAAAACAAATGGGGAAGGGTTGGACATGTATACGCATCTGCCGGCAGTGACTCGGGGCATGCATGGTGATTTGACCTGTCAGCTACCCCTGTGCAGAATGCAGACCGACCACGATCATGTTTACCCCTCATCCGAATATGAACTGGTTCAGCTCAGTGCAGCTCTCTTTTTCTGCTACCTAAAAACTGATTTCTCTCATAAGAAGGTGGGTTTAGAAAAGTTTCATTTAATTCCCACAGTGAACATCTGAAACTGCCAATAGGGCACAAGTTGAAGCTTCAGACATCGGAGGATGCTGAGACTTGAAAAAAGCCCTCAACCTCGATCTCCGAGAGTGCGTCAATATTGGAACACTCAACACTTGCTACACTGGCTATGGTGAATATCCAATGCTGTATCCCACAACCGTGCCGACTGCTGATTATCTTGCACAATATGTTGCAAAGGAAACATAAAGCATTGTGGGTAGCATGCCATCATGGTCCATAAATGTACCAGCAGTTTCTTGTGGATATTCCAGGCAATCATCCATTTTCAGTGCACTTACATTATAGTTGAAGCTGTGGATGTCAGTCAACGACCAACTGATAATTACTGATTAATGATTCATCCATAGTCAAATCAAACTGAACTTGAAAATTAGGACAACAGAAATGATTAAGACCACTTTTAATCTTCTCATTCTGGTAACTAAGGTGGTTAGGGAAAGTGCAGTGCTTTTCAGTGAGTTCCTTCATTGTTCTTACTTGTTGGTAATGTCTTGAGGATGACAACCAAGTCAGCAACAGGACTTCCGTTCATCATCGTCCCCTTCTTGTGTGAGCCCACCTGACGCACCTGCTCAACAACCTATGCAAGAATATAATCCGTCTCAGTTACGAGCACACAATACTACATATTGTAGGCTGGGGACCCAACGTGCAGAAGTTCAATTGAAAGCTACAACTGAAACCTGAAACCTATGCATGGAATAACTGCCAGACTTTCTGTTTCTTGTTCATTCTTCTCGAATAAAGTGAAAAGACCTATTCTGTAGAAAATAGCTGCAGGACAAATGGACAATGCATTTTCTACACAGTGAGGATTTTTAGGCATCATTTCAAAATTCTTATCGAGTAGGTGTCAGACAGAACGGTCCGACTGATACATTTATTATCGGTTGGCTATCAGGTTAAATGTTCTCAAGTGGCCAATTCTAATTGATAGATGCCTTTTCACTGCATTACTTCCAAGGCTATGTGGTTTAAGTGGAGCAACATCCCCCTCTGTTGTTCACTCAACACAAGTCACTGTTATCGGTCGGATGGCCCTGTCCTATAGTCAACTGGTAGGAATTTTGAAATGATGCCTTTGAAATCCGTCTTCTGGAAATGCGGTATTATTTGAATCAATGATATAACCCTTCCATGAGTGTATCTTAAGTGCTGCAGGGAGTTTCAACGTCATCCTCAGGTTTGAAATCCCAACTATCCTATCATGCATCTCCAGTGGGGAATTATGGCAAGTCACACGTCAAATCATCAACCTGCTAGACTGATCAGGTCACGAGTGCAACCTGCCAGCTGACTTAGGAATCATGAGTACTGATAAGGAATTGTCTTTGTCAGAGTGACCTGACCAAACAGACTCGGAAGACTAGGGAATGACTACCAACCATTTATGAGGGATGTCCTATAAACACACAGGGTTTTCCTGTTGCAAGAGCATGTTTAAATGCTGTTCGTTCTGGCAAATTCTGTAGAAGCGCCAGGTGACGTGTCTACTCGTCCCTATGCTTGAGTGATTCCTATTGAGTTTGTACACACACCAAGGCTTAGATCTTGTCCTTGGAGGTTGAGCGAGTTAAGCCCTCAAGCGGCTCTGAGCCATGACCGGGCATTGTAACAAATACTACTCGGCAACACAGTCTGTTTCAAAGAAAGTGATGAAGCCGTGAGAAATGGCCCATAAATCTGGAACAAATGACCACTGGGCTATTATTTGTAAACCCCAACTTGGTGAAGGACTGTGGTTGTGGTATCTTGTTATTTTGAAAAGGTCAGTATTTTCGGCTGGAAATAACACTGGGCCTGGGACACATCGGTTGACAAATAGTACAGCTGCTAAGTGTTCAAAGTTCAATCTGGCAGACAAGCATCAAGACACATGATCAGGATGATTTCGGAATGACCAGTTTACAAGCTACCACTAAACAAATAGCATTAGAAATCTCCTCTTTGTTGAGGCATGTGCTTGATGAAGCAATGAATTGAGAAATCCAGGCACGTAACGAGAAGACAGGAAAAATCAAGAGATTATGCACAGTGTTTGTAAGTTTGCCGTGACTCATGTGGTCAGTTTGGAGAACTTGAATACCTGGAATCACTCTTCTTAGGATGACCTGCCCAACTGGATAATCTGTCCAACTGGACAATTTGCCTAACTGGATGATCTGTCTATTTGCATTATTTGCCCAACTGCATGACCTGTCCAACTGCACTATTTGCTCAACTGGATGATCTGCTTAC